TGTTGCTGATGCCTTAAAATAATTTTACCATTCCATTGACCAGTTTCTCACTCCATTGTGAAAGTTTTTGCGTACAGATTGCAAACTCTCAATGGATGCGTCAACGGGTTAATTTATTGTGTATTTATATGAAAATGCTTTTAAACTATGTATGCTGACAGTTCATATAGCTGATGCGCCACCAGGTGTCCATTCTGGCTTGCCGCATGTTGCAATATCCAAACACCAATACAAAGCCATATGTTAAATTTTTGGCAAACTTGTGGCAATCTCGGCAGCCGGCACGAAATGAGGTTTCGGTTACACGCAGCGCACACAGAGGCACAGTCAGACGCAGACTGAGACATTGAGGAAAACTGCTAAAGCAATGTCACCCAGACCATTCGTGAGCGCCTAGTTGTCGTTGGTTCGAAGTAGTTGTCTAAGTCAGCTACTTACTGCGCCACAACTCCACAACCTGTGCATTCATTCAATTAGGTGCGTTCCATACGGTGGCTGTGTCTTATCGCGCATGCGCGCCAGTTTCGCTTTCAAATGCAAAACCAATTGTGAGCTGTGCAAAATGTCCAAATATTCAGACGGCGCTGTAGCTCTGATCTTATGGAGCTTACTTTCGCTGGGTCAGCAAGCGAAAGGTTGTACGACTGGCAAATGTGTGGCTCATTGCAGATTGTTGCTCATTTATGTATGTTGTGCTTTGTATTGCAGCCAATGTTCACTTAGAAACGTTGCAATTCTTTGTGCGCAACGGCAACTTTAATTTAAACCCATTAAACTGTCATTTATTGCTGTTGGATACGTGCCCTCGAAACTACATACACTTCGAGCTGTTTACCAGGTAAGCGAAGATATTCGCGTGCGTGATCAGAATCTTTGTGAAATTGTGTTCAAATTTTTAATCGATAAAGCGTGGGAATCGAAAGTGTTAATTAAATTTCACAATTCACTGCCCTGCTGAGCAATAATTGTTTTCATAAAAAGTACATTTCAGCTATTGACTTCTTTCTAAGAAAGAAATTTTTAGTTTAGTTAGTTATCAGATAGCTTTTGAAATGTTTATGGCCAGAATGTACACTGATGACAATAAAGAACCCATGTTGTTCCCTCTTTGGCATACTCAAATAGTACTTTCCTTTTCGCCCAATTAAATTGGTTGCTTAACGATTTTTTTACATTTTGAACAAATTAGTTCAACCAATGACCCTCCATTTTCACTTGAGCAATAGAAAAACAATTGTTAGATACGTGTTGATTGTTTCCATCCCATAACCTTATAATAACATTTATAAATGTTACAACACTAATAAAAATACACATAATTTTCGTGAATTGTTGCCAAAATTGAAATGTTGCTTAAATGTAAATACTCAGTAGGTTTTTCTTTTTTATCTATTTTTATTTCAGCTGAGGCTTGCCTTTATATATACATATATACAAGCATTCATGTAAATCTGTGTAGCGCCATCTTGTCTTTTCATACTTGAATACTCATTTCAAATCGAGTTTCGGACCCACATTCACTAAACATTTTTGTTGTTGTCTAGCCTAGATTTCCTACCAACAACAGCAGCTAGGCAACATTCCTTTTTAGCTTACTTTACAGCGCTATCGTTAGATTTGTACAAATTTGTCGCAAGATACTGAATTTTCACTATTCCGTCGCGTCCTCGCTATGAATAAATCATTGGACCAACAATGAGGCCAATGTAAAGACTGACAGCAATTTATTCCGCTGTGAGCATGAAAGAGGTACCAAGCAGAAACTGAAACTATAGTATAACTGAAACTTCGGGGCTGAGATCTTGCCAGGGGACTGCCGATAAGATTCTGCAAGCAAAGTGCTGCGCAAATCCCATTAAAGTGCAAAACGTTTTAAAATCGCTTTAACCAAGGGTGCGGGCAAGGTTTGCAAATAAAGTGTAACATTACGACACAAACAAAATCAGTTTAAAAATAACAGCTACTAAATAAGCAGAAACAAAGTCAAAGCAATCAATTAATTACCTTTGGTGGGTTTGAAACGAATGACTTAGACAACAAGCTGGTTTTAAATAATAAAAGTTTTAGTTTTTGGCAATTACATTTCAAAAAAAAAATCTCAACTTTGGGTAATAGGTATAATTAGTGTAGCAAACAGATGGGATAGTACGTAAATGATTTATTATTTACATTTTTTGTAAGTTTTGGTGTAGTGGGAAACATTACTTATAATATTATATATAAAGTCTTCTTTACTTTGATGTACATTTGTGTTTTCTCTACCTCTTGTCAAATAAATGTAAAAAGTGAAAAAGACATGTTTAAAATTTAAACTCAAATGAACGTTGTTAGATTGATTTGTAAATGACTGCATTTTTATATATTTGGCTCTCCCTTTCATCAAGAAATATTTCCGCCCTATGAACTTCAATCCAACATTGAAGAGATCTTTATAATCCCTCTAAATGTATAAATGTATAGTTTAGTTGATTCTATACAAGTAAATACGAATGGAATCATATACTAAAGGCTGGTTTTTCATTCTCATCATAGCTTTATGAGCAATTATAGTATATAATAGAGTTTATACAAACGTACGGACATGTAGATGTTCCGACAAGTTTGGATCTGCCCCCTTTTATTAATCAAGTTAACTATACATAGATGAATTGTCCACGATCTTTATTGAAAATCCAAATATAACAATTCACCTCTGGGCAACATGATGTAAATGCGAATTGTGGTGAATGCTAAACCCGTAGAGGATCAAAACTGTAACACTGTAATGTTTACATAACCCGAACTTCCAAGCAAAGCAAACAAATAAAAAAACAAGAAAAACCGCAAAATAATAGCTAAAAGGTATCTCACAACGATTGACGGCAACGACATTGAATGCCAAGTCAAAGAAAATGAAAACCGAAACCGAAATACAAATACAAATACAAATGCTGCAAATAACAAAATATAAACAACAATCAAAATTCAAATCAAAAACAAAATCAGTGCAGCGTGCGATGCGGCCATTGCGTGTGTGCGGCATTTTCTTATGAATTTTCCTTACCAACTAAAAGTCATTCACGTCGACGTTGGCGTTGAAAATTCAAGGCAACTGTTGCCAGCAGAGGCAGCGAAATTCTTTGGTTAACAACTCTGCCTGCATTTCTTTTTTTTTTGTTTTTTTTTTTTTTTTTACTGCTCTGCACCAGCCGTGGCGGTCGAGTTTTTCGCGCAGCGCGCATTTCAACCGCGTCGCGCAAATGTGAAAGACGTCTTCGTCGGCTTTTGCAGTGGCTTTCGCGCTTTCGGCCGGAAAGGATCTAAATAGCCGCGTCAAAATTTAATGCGACATGTGGTCGAGTGAAATGTGGATTATAAGTTTTAAAAAAACGTCTACCTAAGTGAAATTTTTCAATTGAAGTGATCTGAAAAAAGTTAATTAAATGCAGCAAAGACTTTCTAAACAAGTAGAGAAGCTAAAGTCGGGTATCCCGACTTTGAAATACTCTGTACATATGTGCAGTATGATTATGCGTATCTATGCGTGTATGTGTGTGTTTGTGTGTATCTGTGTGCCTGTGCAAAGCAGTAACAACAACATATGTGGCTATAACTTCCTGTATTTGCCGAATCTCAATGAAAAATTCGAAGAATTAAGGGAGGTATGGATTGCGAGGGAGAGGGGGGAAGGAGGGAAATTCCAAAATACACATTTTCTGCGTATTCACATAATAAAATTTGGTGTCCCTAGGTCTTATAGTCTCCGAGATATAGGCGATTATACGAATGAAAAATCGGGAAAACCCCCATAGCGGGGAAGTGGGGGGGAAATCAAAAAAATAAAACAAACTCGTATAGCGTACACATCTAAGGCATCTTTGTGCAAATCTCTTATAGTCTCTGAGATCCAGGTTTTCATACGAACGGACACACGGACAGACAGACAGGGCTAGATCGACTCGTCTCGTCATGCTGATCAAGAATATATATACTTTGTGGGGTCTGCCACGCCTCATTCTGCCTGTTACATTTTTCAGCTCCCACACACATAATATACTCTTGAACATTTCATGTACAGAGTATAAAGACTATTTTTTAAAACTTACCCATGACTTTTGCTGCAGTCTGGGAAACTTGAAAAAAATTTATGAATAAATCAAAAGGTGAAAGCATTATTAAAAGTGTAATATCACTATCACTCTGAGTAAAGAAAATTATCAAAACATAATAAAACATTTAAAATTTGAAATACATCATGAATTAATTAAGAACAAGGAACGAAAGGAACGAAACTTAACAGCAAAAATAATTATATAATATAATAAAATACGAAAAATAGAAGATGTATTAAAATAATTTCCCAAATCTTCGCAAGAACGATTAAGCAACAAAATTAATTTAAAATATAAGAATAATATATAAAAAATAATTATTCCTTCAAACAACAAACCAAACATACATATATTACAAAATTATAACCCAATTTTCAAATCAAACAAAATAAAACGATTAAATACGTAATACATAACAACTGAAAAGCAAGAATAAAACAAATATAAATTAGCATTATTACCAATGTTTAAAATCTGATCAAAAGAAATGCGTAAGCAGAAACAGAAAATGCAAGAAATAAAAAGCAAATTATGTATAGTACATACCACCTAGAAATATGTGATGGAAAATGTACAATGTCTCTCTCCTTTTAAATTAATATCAATATTGATATTACTATAGAATATAATAAAAAATAATACAAATAAATAACAAAATATACCAATAGCATAGACATGTAATAAATGGCAATGCCTAAATAGAAATATATTTCAATAAAAAAAAATTTTAAAAAAAAAAAATATATATATATAAATGTGTTGAGAGCTGCAATGAAAATTATGGCGACTGTGCTAAAAGATAATAATTGTTGCAAAACATATATTTTTAAATCTGTTCTATGACACGTACTGTACATGCATGCTTGAAAAACTAAATATATTCAGCAATTTCGTGTAAACTCAACAACAATGAAACATTTAATCATGCTTTGCCTCACCTTCGCATTTGTAACCAAAGGTATAAGAGTTGTGGAGATGTCACACGATATTTATGGACAGTACGACTCACCTTTGGCCTCCTCTCCTCCGTATTGCAGATGCAGAAACTCTGCTTAACCAAATGGATTGGAAAAATTTACTAGCCAGCGGAGCACTGGACTTGAACGTCATGCGTTGTTTTCTGCGCAACAAAAACTTTTGTCCCAGTCCGTACATCGAGCATCGGCTCTATGCACCGTAAGTTCAACTCGGCGGCCAGCCGGCAGTTGTAATCCTGATTAGAACTCTACTTGTATGATAGGCTTTTACTTATGATAGCTAACATTTTTCTTCAATTAATGCCAACAGCAGCACATGAGAATGAAAGAAAACGGGCTGAGAACAGCTTTTCTCATCATTTTATTTTCCTCGTGGGTGTCCGTAAAAGCTAAAGCTGTTTTCCTTTCTCCCATGACACTTTCAACTTCTTCAAAGCAAAAAGATGCTAAAGTTATTTGAAATACACCTACAATGTTCTGCGTCTTTAGCCTAACTTTCTACACTTGCCATTTACATTTTCTTCTGCTCTATCAACCAAAATGAAAGCACATTCTTCAATTACCTCGAATTGTGAATACAATATAAAAAGTTTCCAATAGATTATTGTAGTTCCAAAACGGGAGACAGCTCTTTTATAATTATTCTATTTATTCAAGTTTGTTTGATTAAGAACCTATACGCAAATTGCAGAGTGTATGCGTGTTCTCTTGATATACTTAGAAACTCATTCACAGAAAAGCGCGCTTGGAAATTATTAAGAGACATACGAAGTCTTACTCAGAGAATTCAGTATAATTGTTTACTAACTAAGCATAGCATTTATTAAGAGTAATACAAAATCTTACTCTGAGAATTCGGTGTCTTTGTTCTCTTTCTTAAACACACATGGGCAAATCCCACTCAAATTACAAGTAGAAAATGATTAAATTATTTCTGATGAAATTACTGATAAAAAAATGTATACAATTTATATAAGAGGGAGCTATTTGAGTAACGTAAAGTGTATGTACATGTAGTTATTTTTGAAGAAAGTGTGATTGGAAATCAAATAAAATTGGGTGCTTCCATTATTTGTTGGTCAGTGTGTCAGGCTTCCGAAAAACTTGTGCAACCATCAGGATATCTTCATGAATATACGAGTAGATGCGCGCAAATGCAATCGAAAAATGTATTTTATAGGCGGGTAACTCGTTTTGCTCTGCTCCGAAATGGAGTGTGTGTTCGCCTTTTTTACGTAAACCGGCCTGACCCACTAAAAATAAGCCTGTTGTGCCACATTGGCGACTGCCAACGCCAACTGTTAACTGCCAACAGCCGCCCGCTAGCCCCTGGCTGTAGGCCAATAAAAACTGCTTCCCGATGACATCAATTGCATTAACAAATAAAACGTTTCGATCATCACCAAGTCGTTGAACCTGCCGTTGCATCGTCTGTTCAAGTCCAATGCCAAAGCCACAGAACAAAGTCGCTTATGGCCTTAACGGCCTAACCAATAACCAATTGTTGCGGTAATACATGCCACTCACTGGCATTACATAAACCAGACATTTTACCTGTATATGTAGTATACATAGTCAAGATTTAATTGTTCACATACGTATTTTTACAAACAGCACTGCATCGATTTATTTCGTGTACACACACACAGTCCACTGGCGTCGATTCTCTGGCTACGCACACATATTGCAGTAGGGAAACACAATTGTTGTCATTATAGCCGCCACAATCCCTCATGCATACACAGTCCTCCTCCCTGTTATCCGGATGATTATTGGGCTCACCGGGGCACCATTTCGAGTAGGGTATCTGTCCTCCATTGTTGGCCAACACAAAGTTCCGCGAAGTTCCCAACGCGTTAACGCCAACCCACACCTCATATTTCTCTGCGCTCTTCTTTATATATGTGTCTAATATTTCCAGTTCTCGCTGATTGTCCAGCACTACTAAATCGGCATTGAGAGCCCCACATCTGCGCTGCGCAGCATACCAATTCACCTTAAAAAATATATTTATAAAACGGCATATCCCTGACCAAGGCCAAGACTCACCTTCTCGGATGACAAGAAGTAACACTTCTGCCCCAATCGTGTAAAATTCTCAGGACATTCATCTGCCTGCGCTCTAACACAAACCCAAAATATGCCACAAAGGCAGAGAACACTCGTCACCGCACTCGCCATGACTCTATACTAAAAAAAAATTGATCAGTTTGACAGTATTTATAGCTGTACAGATGATCAAGTAATATGTATAAACATTCTAGTTATTATATTATAGTAAAGAGTTCTGAAATCAGAAGAGATTATGCACATTTTCTATTTATAATTACCTTTTCCTACCTATTCCTGACTTAACAATCAAATTTTAAGTATATTTTATAAAAAAACAAGTTGTTGTATTTTAAGGGAGATAAGCCCGCTCTTTTTTTTGGGCGTAGATGAACTTTAGCTATTTGTTTATAGAATCATATTTGTTTCATAAGAGAATACTCTTAACTTGACATTAAGATACGTGTATCTTAGAAAACAGCAGGCTTCTCTTTGCACCCATAGGGAATTCTTTAAAAAACCTTTGTAATGAATCACGCCAGAAACAATACAACAAGTGGAGAAGCTTAAATCGAGTGTCCCGACTTTGAAATACTCTCTACATATGTGTAGAATAATTATGCATGTCTATGCGTGTTTGTGTGTGTCTCGTGTGCCTATGCACGGCAACAACAGCAGCTGCGGGCAGCGCTTGAGCAGAGAGAACCTATATATGGCTATAATATCCTGAAAAAACGGCCTATCATTATTAAACTTGTCTTATTGTCTGAGATCCAGGTGTTCATACGGACAGACACACAGGGCTAGATCGACTCGTCTTGTCATGCTCATCAAGAATATATACATATGTATACTTTGTGGGGTCTGCCACGCATCCTTATGCCTGTTACATTTTTTGGTAAGCAGTAGGAAGCATAAAAAAAATATTGAAAGTTATTACACATATAAAAAAATATTGATATAATTTTAAAATGCCATTTTTAGTATTTTGACATCTTAAGTGGTTTAAGATTTGCTGTGTAATTTACATCGGCTAATTTCGTAAATTCAAACAGCACATATACAAAGATATACAGTCCTCGGGGCTCTCCTCCCCACGTATATTATTTGGTTCGCCGGGGCACCATTTCGAGTAGAGTATTGGTGCCCCATTCTTAGCCGTCAAACAAGTAAAAAAGCTAAAGTCGTGTGTCCCGACTTTGAAATACTCTGTACATATGTTTAGAATAATTATAAAAATTCCAAAAAGTAAGAGAATTAAAAAAAAAGTTGATCGATTTTATCTCTTTTGGTATTCGAACTCAACAAGGGTGTATAATTGCACATATTCAAAGCAATTGCGTCTATGTGAGTGTATGTATGTTTATGCGCGTCTATTCGTGTCTGTGTAAGCATGTTCGCAGGCAACCAAAGCAACAGCATCAACAACAGCCGCGGCCAGTGCATGAGTAGCGCTTGCGGAGCAAATATATTTATGGCTATAACTTCTTGTTAAATCGGTCTATCATGATGAAACTTGGCATACGGATACATAATTACTATGGAGGGGTAATTCGCAATTTGCATGGGAGCGGGGGGAGGGATGGAAATTCCAAAATACACATTTTCTGCGTATTCACATAAGGCATCTTTGGTGTCCGTAGGTCTTATAGTCTCCGAGATATAGGCGATTATACGAATGAAAAATCGATAAAACCCCCATAGGGTGGAAGTGGAAATTTGTACTTAAGTATCCTTTCATAGTGTAGGTGCCCACTAAGACGGGATTTTGCTAAATTCGAGCTCCAAAGGGGGGAAATCGAGCTCCAAAGTTTGTATGAAAAATCAATACAATTTTCATCTGTTTAACTTTAAAATTAGTTTGTATACTTTCTGAAAAATTCCAAGAAAAACTGTATACTTGGTTTTTTGAATTTTTTTTTGGGACTGAAATATGGAAGTTTTCCTGTAAAAAAAATGGGGCACAAAAGGAAACCGCGTCAACAGCCCACAGCCCAAACGGCAAGAGCTATGAAGCAAAAATTTGGGCTCAAGGATAATATAATAAAAAATGTGAAGGGATTTTGGAAAATTCAAGCTCCAAAGGGGGGAAACGAGCTCCAAAGTTTGTTTGAAAATTCTGCATTTCTACACCGATCAACTTTATAATCTATAAAAGAATACAATCAAAACTGCATACTCGGATTTTCGAAATTTGTGGTGGAGCTTGAATTATTGGCGTTTTAATATTTGTTCACCTTTTCAAATGAAAAGTTTGTGTTGTACATTTTTTTCGATCGATCAAATTTGGGGACTGTAATCTACGTAACTAAATCTACAACTTTGTGTTCAAGGATTTTCAAAATATGCATTCTACAAATGCAGGCAGAACAAACAATACAAAATATCAAAGAGTTGGGGACAACTAAGTATACATACACACACACGCACACACATACAACCCGCTGTTCGTGTAGTTGCGTGCAAACGATTGAAATAGCCAAAGCAAAATGTGAGACACTAATGTGTGAATGTACGCACATACATACATTTGTACACATCTATGTACATATACACATCTATGTATGTATGTTCATTCGTCTTGCACTGACAGAGCAACAAATGTTAATTAATTAAAAATTATTTAACATTTTTAAAAGTAATTTTTTCTTTGTTTAGTACATTTGGCATTACGGTTTTCATTAGTAACTTTATGCAGCAACAACAAATTACAAAGAACGCAAATATCAAATAGTTGGGGACATCATAAACACACACTCACACACAGAACAAGCAACAGTTCGTGTCTATGTGTGCGGTTCTCTACGTACATACGTATGTATGTATGTATGTATACATTGGACAATCGAGCACTGTTGTTTGATTGTAATAAATAATGTTCTATGGTTTTAATTCAAATTTTTAAAACGAAAAACAACAACAACTGAAAGTCATTGGCTCGCGCTTTTTCTTTCGTTTTGATCATTTACTCCTGTTAATTTCAAAGGCAAAATGCCAAAAGTTTACAGTTACCGTCGCTAGGCAACGACTGCGTAAACGATAGTAAAGCAGAAACCGAAAGCGGACCTACGCATATTCTGCTTCGCGTTGCGGGCAGATGTACATATGTACATATGTATTTTTGTATATGATTTGTTCTAATTGATCTCA